AGTTGTCACGGAGTGTGGGGGGACTCAGGGCCCTGCACCCCCGGCGTCCTGCGATTCACCATGACTCTCAGCCAGCCAGTAAAGCAGAAGGTTTATTTAGACGACAGGAATACAGTCCAAGACAGGTCTTGCAGGCACAGACAACAGGACCCCCTCAGTTAGGTCCATCTTGGGGTCCCCGGGCACCCTAGCCCCCTTAGGGGATCAGAGCCCTGTCTGCCCCAAGCCCCAGTCACTAGCCAGCTTCTCCAACTCTCTTTGTTCAGTCTCCCGGGCCAAGGTGTCACCTCGCCTCCCCCCCTTCCTGGGTTCTCATATTACATGCTCAGGTATTCTCCTTCAGTCATTCACCCATCCCCCAATGCAGACCATCCTAGCCACACTCCCCTGTCAGCATTCACAGACTACTTTAAGAACAGTCTCAGTTCGTCACACAGCTGTAAACCACATCAGTTACTGTCGTGAGCTCTCACCTCAGCCCAGGAAAATATGACAACCAAAAATAGTAACTCACAGTAACACATTATGTAGATTGCATTACCAGACAATTACACTGTAGGTAATATGGCTGACTATTGTAGCCAAGCTAATGAAAAAAAAAACATTTTCCCCTTGAAAGAATGAATTAGTTATCATTAAGGCTACGACTTAGTCATGGAGGTCACGGTAGTCACGGATTCCATGACTTTACCGGACCTCCGTGACTTCTACGCTTCAGGAGGCGGAGGAGGGACTATGCGCCCCTGCCCTGCAACGGAGGTTAGCTGGAACCAGGACCCTGAAGCCCAAGCCTTGTGGCTTCTACTGGGGGCTGCAGCCAGGGCCACATGCCGCAGTCAGGACCATGCACCCTAGCCCCACGGCTTCCACCAAGGGCTGCAGCCAGGGCTACGTGCCCCTGCCCGGAGGCTTCTGCTGGGGCTCGGTGGGGCTGCAGCCGTGGTTGTGTGCCTCAGCCCCGCAACTTCCACCAGGGGCTGCAGCTGGGACCATGTGCCCTAGCCTCATAGCGTCCCGGGCTTGGTGGGGCTGCAGCCAGGACCATACGCCCCCCTCACGGCTTCCCAGGCCTGTGCACAGGGCTGGCTCTAGGCACCAGCAAAGCAAGCAGTTGCTTGGGGAGGCAAATTTGCAAGGGGCGCAAGAATCCAGCATGTGAGCTGAGAACCAACAGGGGGGCCTGGGAGCTAGTTCCTTGGTTAGCTCCCTGCCTATAGAGCCAGCCCTGGAGCAGGGAAAGAACTACATTTCCCAGGATTCCCTCGGCCGCAATTAGGGTGACCAGACAGCAAATGTGAAAAATCGGGAAGGGGGTGGGGGGTAATAGGAGCCTATATAACAAAAAGACCCAAAAATGGGGACTGTCCCTATAAAATCGGGACATCTGGTCCAGGGCCAGCTCCAGGCACCAGCTTGTAAGGCAGGTGCTTGGGGCCACTTCGGAGAGGGGCGGCACGTCCAGCTATTGGGTGGCAATTCGGCGAACGGTCCCTCACTCCGCCTCGGAGCGAAGGACCTCCCGCCGAATTGCCGCCGCAGATCGCGATCGCGGCTTTTTTTTTTTTTTTTTTTTTTTTT